AGCTTTCAGTACTTACCAACAGGCCCAAATTGTTTTAGTAAAAGTGCTGGTTTTCTCTGTCTGAATTTGTTCAGATACTAACAAAAATATTAATCCTGTAATCAGTCTCTGTAGTGCACTTGCTTTGAAGGAGCTCTGTCAGCATGAGTATTCATCAGATGTGACTTCTTAATTGCTCTCAGAGACAGGAATGTTGTCAGTTAATCTGTAACAACCAGCTTTTATGGAATGACAATATTCCTGCCAAGGGTGCTCCTTCTGCTTACGACTGCCCAGATCAGCTTTCCTAAGGCTGCTTTAAAATTCACATAGTTAACTCTTTGGTGAAGGAATATACAATTGGCTCCCATTGAGATTGAACAGGAGAGTTGTGTACTTGTCCACAGTAAATTACTTTTGAAGACCACAGGGTTCAGAAAGCATTCTTAGAATAAGTAGTAAGGAAAACCCATCTGTGTCTCCTGCAAATGTTGCCTTTTACAATTTATATTTATCTTGCTTTTGAAATCTTTAAAATAACTAAGTGATTGTTCAGGAAGTTCTGTTTAACATCTTTAGAGATGACATGGACAAGGGGATCGAGTCCTCCCTCAGCAAGTTTGCAGACGACACCAAGCTGGGTGGGAGTGTTGATCTGCTGGAGGGTAGGACAGCTTTGCAGAGGGATCTGGACAAACTGGATCAATGGGCCAAGTCCAACTGTAAGAGGTTCAACAAGGCCGAGTGCTGGGTCTTGCCCTTGGCTCCCAACAACCCCCTGCAGTGTTTCAGGCTGAGGGAAGAGTGGCTGGAAAGCTGCTTGGTGGAAAAGGACCTGGTAGTGCTGGTCAACAGCAGCTGAACATGAGCCAGCAGTGTGCCCAGGTGGCCAAGAAAACCAATGGCATCCTGGCTTGTGTCAGGAATAGTGTGGCCAGCAGGACAAGGGCAGTGATTTTTCCCTTGTACTTTGCACTGGTGAGGCCGCACCACGAATCCTGTGTTCAGTTTTGGGCCCCTCACTACAATAAGGACATTGAGGTGCTGGAGTGAGTCCAGAGGAGGGCAATGGAGCTGGTGAAGGATCTGGAGCACAATTCTTACAAGAAGTTGAGGAGGGAGCTGGGGTTGTTTAGCCTGGAGAAAAGGAGGGACCTTATCACTCTCTCTACAGCTACCTGAAAGGAGGTTGTAGCAAGGTGGGGATCAGTCTCTTCTCCAGGTAACAAGTGAAAGGACAAGAGGAGACAACCCTGTGTTGCACCAGGGGGAGATCTAGATTGGATATTAGGAAAAATTTCTTCCCTAAAAGAGTTGTCAAGCATTGGAACAGGCTGCCCAGTGAAGTGGTGGAGTCACCATCCCTGGAGATATTTAAAAGATGTGTGGGTGTGACACTTAGGTACTTTCTGAAGTTAACAGCTAGGCTGATTTCACAAATTATTGTAGAAGAAGATCTAATTCCCATGATATAACTACTTAACTTGAATCTGCTGTTTATTATTGATTATAACCATTTTCATTGCATTTTTTTCAGAATCTTAAATCTTTAGATTAACAAGTAGCATTTGGGCAGTTTAAGTTCTTTTTATTTATAAACACTGTCATGTAGCAGTTGTTAACACATCCTTATCTTTTTTTTTCCCCTTTTTTCTTCCTTCTTCCTTTTTCTTCCTCTTTTTTTTCTTTCTTTTCCCCCCCCTTCCCCCCCCCCCTTTCTGCCCCCCCCCTTTGCCCCCATCTGCCCCCCCCTTTTCTGCCCCCCCTTTCTGCCCCCCCCCCCCCCCCCTTTCCCCCCTTTCTGCCCCCCCTTTCTGCCCCCCCCTTTCTGCCCCCCCCTTTGCCCTCCCTTTCGCCCCCCTTTTCCCTCTCTTTTCTGCCTTCTTTTCCCCACCCTTTTGTCCCCAGTCTCTTTCCCCCCCCTTTTTTCTCGTCTTTCTTTCCTCCTTTCATTCCACTTTTTCTATTTTCTTTTTTTCTTGTTTTACTTCCTCCTCCTCCTTTTTTCTAATTTTTTTCCTTTCCCAAGTAGTTGTGGGTTTAGATGGCAGTTACTTTTGAAATGGAACTTTCCTGATTTTGAGGATTCCACATTTACCAGTTCTGCATATGAAGTTAGAAGAAACAATAGACATAAAGCTGGCTAATGTGTTTCTGCTTCAGAGTTGTGTAAAGATGGAAATCCTTAGACCACATGTTTATGTGAGGGACAAAAAAAAGGGTTAGGGAAAAATAAGGTCTTTATAGTATTCTACAGAGAATTATACTACAAACACATACATAGTTTTAAGTCCATTTAGAATCCTCCACCAATGAAGGGACTTTTTCATATGCTTCAGGTATCTTGCTGGATTGAATCCTAAATGATTACTTCCTATTTTTCAGACGTGTTTAGTTCTTTATTGTTTCTAGGTTTTGCTGTGTTGCCCTGCAGTGAAATTAGGTTGGGTATCAGGAAAAGGTTTTTCACCAAGAGGGTGGTTGAGCACTGGAATGGGCTCCCCAGGGAAGTGGTCACAGCATCAAGCCTGACAGAGTTCAAGAAGCATTTAGACAACACTTTCAGACACATTTTTGGGTTGTCCTGTGTGGGGCCAGGAGTCGGACTAGATAATCCTAAGGGTCCCTTCCAGCTCAGGATATTCTGATTCTATGAAATTTAATATACAGTTTAGTTTCCAAATGGTCATAAAAGTTTGTTTTGATTTTGTAACGGTTGTTTTGATTTGTAAGGGTTTTGTTTTCCCTTCACTTGTCTTTAGCTGAATGCCCTCATCTCTTCCTTCTCTGACAACTTTGCTGCTATGAGAGCATAAACACCATGTATGGTGACTAAGCATACAGTATATCAAAAACTTAAGTACCAGTGTGAGTCAGAATTTTATCCAAAAGGAATACTGGGCTTGTCTTTTCTACAGTACCTAAGAAATTAGGTTCCATATTTTAGGAATTAAAGTGTCATGCCCTCATGTCCATATTTCTTTCTAGGAACTATGAGAAGTACTTTGTCAAGGCACAGAAAGTCAGACGTCTCATTGCCAATGACTTTGTGAAGGTTTTCAGGAGCGGTGTTGATGTTTTACTCACTCCTACCACTCTGAGTGATGCAGCACCATATAAGGAATTCATCAAAGAAGACAACAGAACCCGCAGTGCACAAAATGACATCCTGACACAGGCTGCAAACATGGCTGGTGAGTAGGGACAAGAATTAAACTATGTTTTCCCCTGCCTAGTAATTTTTAATGTCTGGTCCCTTTAGCTATTTCACCTCTTCTTTAGAATCAAGATATTTCACTCCCATGTTGTAATTCTTACAGTGATAACCAAGTGTAAGGATGGTTTATTAAATGCTTGAAAATGTAAGACTAGATTTTAAAGTGAGGCACTCTGGAGCTGAGTGTGGGCTGCAGGTAAGATGAATCCATTCAAGTTCTGGAGACAAAACTTGAATCTCTTTCTAAGGAGAACTGACTATCTTTTCAGAGATGATGGCTCCTTAAATCAGTCTAACTAGTTTCTTGTGATCACCTAGTAGTATCCTTAGTTCATTGACTCAAATTATTTTAGCTAGTCGTTCTCCACTACATAATTTTTCTTCCGGTTCTCTTAGAATTGTTACAAAAATTACTCCAACTACTGTTTAATAGTAAGTCTTTGTATGTGTATCTTTTTTTCCTTCAGGACTGCCAGCCATAAATGTTCCTACAGCTCTTTCAGAGAGAGGCTTGCCAGTTGGGCTTCAGTTCATAGGACGTTCATTCCAGGAGCAGCAGCTTCTCACAGTAGCCAAATGGTTTGAAAAACAAGTACAGTTCCCAATGATCCAGCTAGAAGAAGTAAAGGGGCATGACCGTGATGTTTTTCAGCATAAGAAATCTGCTTCTTTTTCATAACACAGGACTTGCTAGTCAGCTAAAGCAAGAAAGCTGTGGGGATGGTCTAAAGATGTATTCTTGCAGTTAATTATCCTTTGCAGAAATAATAATCTGTTTTAAGAAGACCTTATGCAATGATGCAGGATGGAATCACGACACTTGGTACTCTGTAATTAAGGCAAAGTGAATCATTAAGTAAACATGTTTATGTTATTAAGAACCATTTTTAAATGATATTAAAACCACCAAGTTGAAATTATGTATCTTATGCCTGTGGAACTGATTTTTTTTACATCCCCAGAGTGCGTGTAAGGTATCTGACCCATTAAAGAACTAACCTGAGCTTTTGTGTGAAAATTTCATGGTTGCCAAAGGGTTTGGTTTCCTTCTGGAGTGTAGACTTTTGTAATGGCAACAACCAGACAAGCTTTGTTGGAGCAAATGTATTAAGGATCTGTTCACTAAGAGTTAAATACAAAAGGAAACAAGGGAATAACAAAGAATCATAGCATCGTTTAGGTTGGAAAAGACTTTTAAGATCATTGAGTCCAACCCAGCACTGCAAAGTCCACCACTCAGCTGTGTCCCTAGTGCCACATCTACACATCTTTTGTGTGATGCTTATTAAGGTCACTGTGAGAAAACTAAATCAGGCCTGCATTTAGATCCCTATTTTATCAAAATTTCAAGATGTGGAAATATTAGTTCATTTAAAAGCATAAAAATATTCCCTACTTCTAGCTAACTCTCATGCAGGAGGTGAAAATAACCTCCAGGTTTACAAATCATGCAGATTACTCTGGTTACATCCATGTAAAAATGATGAATTCCAGATTTCTTCTGGGAAAAGATGCCTAGTGGTCTTGAGTAATTGTTTTCCTCTTTCTTCATCACTGTTCTTTATAATCAGCACTAGAAATTAATACTTACTAAGAAAGAGATCGTCTCAGTGTAACTCTCCATAAGAATACTACTACCTATTTCTTTGTGGGCAGTCATTCAACACAATAGTAATTTGAACTGAATTTCCAAACGATCAAGTTGTAGACTGGAAGACTTACTAAACAGCTAATAACCTGTTTTGAATGTTGCAGTTTCCATTTCTTGAAAGTTAGAAAAATATGAAGGACGAAGCTTGTGGATTTGTTTTTGCATCAGATTCATTTTCAGTTGTAGTCTACAGCATGCACAGGTGCAAATAGTGTAGGGTGGGGAAAATGACTGAGATGTGGTCCCATATGGAAACGTATGGAATCTTCCTGAATTATGTCTTGTCATAGCCTATATTGCCACCCATATAAAACAATAACAACCTTATTTCTAAAAATTGCACAATTGGTGAATTTTCCATACCCCAAGGTGAGTTATATCAATACCTTTCCAACATGATTAAAATGGTACACAATTAAAAATCCTACATGACAAAAATTCTAAAAGTGAAATTAAATTCTTCAACACTAAAAGTCAAGATACAGCCTGTTTTCAGCCTGATTCTGTCTGAATTTTTCCACAGAACAGTCTTCAGGGAAATTGCTTTTCTGTCAGTGGGTGATGATGAATTGAAGATCTCAACAGACTTTTTTCGCTGTTGTCTTGTTCAGTAATTTAGATATGCTGTAATCATGCATCTTGTCTTATAGCAGCTTGCTGACCAGAGCTCTTGGTGAGGTTATCCATTATCCAAGTTGATATACATGGATATATACTTGCAATAGCTGCTCTTTGATCTGTAGTCACGTCCCAAACCAAGACCTACCACTTGCTGTTTCTGAAAGTAAGTCAGTGTCTTTTTCTCAGAGTTTGAGATAAAATTGGGGCTGTGGAGAGCATTCCTGGATGGACATGGAGCAGCTTGGAGTGTTACTGACAAAAGAGAACAAGCAGAGAATTGTGCTTATGCTTGGCAGTCTTTCTCTTAAAACTTCTCTGATACAAAGAGAAATCTGATGGAAAAACTGGATCAAGGCAAAGATCCCACTCCATGTTTCCCAAGCAGCTCGAGGAGGGGTAGGTGAAGGGGAACTGTTCCTATATCTGAACTGCTTTTTCTTAAAGCAGGGCTCTGATTTCAGACTCCAGAATCCTCTAAACAGGCATTCAGATGATAAAAGCAATTGATTGCTCTGAGACAGGTCCTTCAGAGTTTTTTCTCCTGGCAGATTTCTGAACGTACAATAACTGCAGTGAAATACACAGTGGAGAAGGTACAAACCAGACAAACAGACATCCATTCTGCATGGTCTTTCTGTTAGTAGTTGAGACCCGTCTTTGAATTAAAGATAGTAGAGACTCGAAAACCAAACTCCTGGGTAAATACTTAAATTTCTGGGCTATCAGATTTCAAAGCAGCCCCAACAACAGTTCTACCCTGCTCCCACTCCTAGCTGATTTGCATTTTTGGGGACCATATGCTTAATGCTCTTTCTTCCCTTCATTTTCTAAGGCTGGAACTTCACCAAACCCGAGGTAAGAACTTAGGAACCAGCATAGTCAAGCAGCTTCAGGATGTAAGCAAGAGTTCCTTATGTTGTGCAAGAGAATAGCTAAGAGACTTCTGCTGTTTTCATATTAGAAAAACTGTTCAAAGTAGTTCACTCTCAGCCCCTCAGCAGTTCCTGAAGGAGCTTAACACCCCAGCTTACCTGTAAGTGTAAGCGGTTGTGAGGGGTATATTAGAGCAGAGCTTTGTGCAGCTGCTCCCAGTTCATAGTTATGTCTCCGGAGTTATGAACAGAAAAGTTTCTATGCCAGATAATTAGACTCTTAAAACTCCTTGTTACAGGAATTCCAAGGAGCAGGAAGGTCTGGGTATAAAAAAAAACCAAACAAAAAAACCAAAACCAAAACAAAAAAAACCACCTGCCTATACACACATTTTGTACAGCTGCCTTGAAAAACGATTCACTGAAATAATAGAGTTGGAAGTTCCATGCCACGAGCAGCACGAGTCACAGCAGGGGATAAGGTGTAACCTTAGCACACAGTGAGCCCAGATAATTCCAGTGTTTCCTGAAGGAAACAAAAGCTAGAGCTTTAGCAAACAAGCAATCTGCTCTTAGGTGCAAATTGTTTTTTCTTCAGGTAATGAGAAACTGTAAGAACATTGTATAGTGGAAAAGTAATTTTTGAGAAGAAAATTATCAAGAGGTTTTGCTTAAGATGATTTTAAATGCAATTGCAATTTGATATTGCAGTTTATGTGGTTTCCACATACATGTTTTTCCCTCAACCTCCTTAAGGGCACTCAAAATAAGGAGAAATTCAAAGCAAAATTTAACCTGACTGCTGCTACTTCTCTGTTCCCCCATTTCTCAGTTTTTAGCCATTAGGCACTTGTAGTAACTGCAACTTCATTGTAGCTTCTCCTTACATAGTGCTGGTCACTTCTCCGTTACTTTTATGATTCACCTAGGAACTAATCTATCTGTAAAGCTGCAATAGGGAATGGGCTTTGTAGCCTAGTTGGGGTGTCCCACGGGCCTTCCCCTCAGCTCTGCCCCCCAGAATACTGAGAGCAGTACCACTGGACTCGCACACAGATGGGCAACTGAAAAGGAAGGAAGAGGTGTGCACAGCATATCTAAAAATCTCTGCTGGGGTTACATGGCAGTCATACTTCATGTTAAATTGATGCCCATAATGCCACCAGAGAGGGCAAGGAAATCAGCAAAAAAGTCAGAGAAGCAAAAGAGGTTTATCTAATTTTGTTATTTTTCAGTCTGTCTCTAAAAAAAAAAAGGAGATATTCGGTTACAGGAATGTTAGAAAGAGGCAGCAAATGAAAAATACTCCCAAGCTTCTTAATTAGCTCACCACACCTTCAATTTACTAATGTCCAGACGCAATTAAGCAATTCCATGCTAACCTTCTTTCGTAAGCAGAAGAAAGGATTTTTTTCCCGCCCAGCACAGGCATCTTCGTGTACTCACTGTTGAACAGCAATGAAAAGTGTCTTTAGATCAGGGGAGCAGGGCACTCAGGGAAAGAAGCAGGAACCCATCCAGGGGGCTTTGCCAGGCCCCGAGTAGCATTTTATAGCCCATGCTATGGTCTGATACCCACACAATAAGGGTCTAAGTGCTGTAGAGAGTCACAAGCCAATGCTGTGGCACAATATGTGATGAAATGGACTTCAAAGAGCTGGGAACTGAATCTTTTTCAGCTAAAGAGACTGTTCTTTGTGTCACAGCCCGTGGTGTATGGATTTGTGTGTCCTGCCTTGCTGCACTGATTGTGACGTATGGTGCACATGTTGCTGTCGTGTGTCAGCTCAGACTCCTGGGGCAGCAACAGAGACTCCTGGGTTAGAGGCCTCTTTTCAGGGGATGGTGCATTACGGTGGGAGAGGAAAGGGGCTTGGAGTTACAGGGCAGAGGACAGACTGTCTGAAAGGCTGCTGCAGGAGTGTGTAAGAGGCTGTGATAAGGGGGAGGGGGCAGAGGTAGTAGGTGATCAGTACCGGCTGGCAGCAACTGGGCACCTGCCTGTACTGTGAAGTGGGGCAGCTGTTATCTGATAACATCAATCCCAAAGGGGAGACAAATGCCTGCACTGCAGCGTATGGAATAAAAGCCCTAGGCACTTCACTGTGCCACCCAGGAGGGGACGTTTCAGCTTGGGAAGTGACACGGAGAAGCACAGAAAGGTTGTCTAGGCAAGCTTGAAACACTAGGAGATAAAAAAACACACAAAAGAGGGGAAGTATTAAGTGTCATAGAAGCTGGTAACTCACTTGAGAAGCCAGAGACTTGCGAGAGGAAGATTGAAGAGATAAAGGACATGGGTTTGAGGAAGCACAGAGAATCACAGAATATTCTGAGGTGGACGGGATCCACAAGGATCATCAGAAGTATTCTGATGAAGGAGGGGCCCTGACTTCATGTTCCTAAGTTGCATTCTTTGAAGGTGGGTAGCTTTGAGAACAGAGAGTCTGCTTGATTTAGCCCAAGACCAGAGCATTTAAGACTTGCATTTGCAAGCTTTTAGTGCCAAAGTGAGTGCTACTCAGGCACATATAGTACCTGGCACAGACACACAAAATACATGCTTAACAAAGACCAAAACCAAAACATGTTATTAACGAAATACTTCAGGAAGCCTAGCAACACACTGCAAAAGGGACTTTGTGGGCTTGGTTTCTCTTCATAGATAGCTATTTCATAGTCATGTCCATAAATTTTTTAAAATCTAAGGAGTATTTTTGATTTCTTCCTCCTATTAATATTCCAGAATCTTTTGTTTAGAAACTTAAACTATGGCCAAACCACACGCACACACCTATTTGCTCAAGGCATTATTGTTCTTTTGTTTAAATATGCCTTCTCACTCCTTGTGTTTAATTCACTCTCGTATTGATAGAGTACAGTTGCATTGTTCCTTAGCCTTTATTCTGCTCAAACAGTTTACTCCTGTGTATTAGAGTGCCCTGTGCTAATCTCTGTAGCCGTTCACCGCACCTGCTCCAGCTGAATCCACGTCTTCCAACATAGGTGGCAAGTATTGTAAATGGAATTCCAGGTGCAGTTTTACAAGTACAACACCATTAATATTTCCCTGTCACTCCTGAAAAATTCTTCTGCAGAACGCTCTGGAATCACACTTGTGTTTTACTGAGCCACATTACACCATACCAATAGCTCAGAGCCAATTTATGATTAACCAATGCACTCAGGGCTTGCTCTGCCTCTTTTGCTTTCAATGGATAAGCATTTCCCGTATGAGCTGGAGCTCATTATTAAGCCTCTAGGTTCATGACCCTGCACTCCTTCTCGTCACTGCTATTCAAATTATCGAAGTTTTCCAGTTTTTCCTGTAGAGTCCAACTCTCCACTGTTTTGACGGTAACTCTCAGTTTCATGTCATCAGAAACAAAGAATGTGTCCTTCAAATAACTTTCCTTATCACCATAGCTTTACCCTCATTGCAATCATTTTCCAAGCCATTGCTGCTAATGGAATTAGAGCAAAATAAAATCCAGTTTCTCCTGTATGGCCTCTGTAAGCCTCACCTGTGCCTTGATGAATCGTGATGATGCACCCATCTATTGACAACAGCAAATACAGGCTGAGGAGCTGCAGCCAGCCTTAACAAAAACTTGGAGGTTTGGCCCTCGCTCTAATCCACGATTGGCTTGCTTGGAAAGCTAAAAACAAACAGAGGCCCATTGCAATAAACACTGTGCAAGGATATCAAGAAAAGAACTTGCCCCTGAAAAGAGCTTGCATCTATTGTGCATCTATCCAAAACCCCCATAAAAACCCCAACAAAAAAGCCACCCTAGGATAATGAGCTATTGTATCCACAGCACTGGAAACGCAAGAGCCTGAATGATCCACTCTCAATTGTGAACAATGGAAACACGCTGAATCACTAAAACCAAACCTTCAATAGGCAAAATGCAGCCTTGTCACTAAGACAAACTGCTAATAACAACAATGAGGCTTGGAACAGCTTGTATGGAGCCCAACTGGCTCTCATACTTCAGCTGAAGTTCATCCAAAGTTGAACAGGGAGGTCTCCAGATGGTCACTGCAACTGGGGTTAGAAGGAGGTGCCATTATGTTACCTTCTTGTTCATACACAAAGTGTAGAATTTTGTTCAGTGATGAAAATTAAGACTTACCCCAGAGGAGTGGACAGGACAAGCCGTGAAGGAAAATGACATCACTTACACTGGGAAGATACTACTTTAAAAGGATATTCTAGTCATAGCACTTTGACAATTATTAACTTGAAAAACAGGGGGGCAAAAGTACAATTGTGTTTCAAAGTTTGTGCTGTGCTTTTTTCTCACAGCATGTAAATTAAAGGTATTTTATGTAAAACAATTTCTTTTAGAGAAGAAAACATCTAACTTCACAGTATTTAAACAGATAAAAAACAAAATTCTCTATCGAAGCCCCAGTCAGGGATGCAACAGGCAGAGGGACGTCCACATCGCTGAACTGAGCTGTAAGCTACATTTCCTTCCAGGTCTTCCATTTAGGGTTATATTTGTGTCTGTTCCCTGTGCTTTGCAACCACACTGACAATATGGACTTTGCCAATACAGCCTGCTTCAGGGAGAGCACAAAATACCTCAAAAATTCCTTCAGGGAGAAGCATCATCTCTGAGTCAATCTGCCTGCTCCCAGGGACACCAGCTTGCCTGCTTGCAGACAAGTGGAGGTGGGAAAGTGCTGGACTCCACTTGCTTGGTTACAGAACAAGTCAGAGAATATATTTAGGAGGAATAGCTGTCCCTGAGAGGACTGTCCATTACAACAGGGCAAAGACTGTCTTTGGGAGATTTGAGGGCAGACCTGATGCCTCTCCAGAAGTGTTGGCTTCCAAGGGCTCAAGGAGAAATTTGTGTTTCTTCATTTCTCATGCCAGTCTTGAATCTTAAACTGATCACAAGGTTCTCAGAGTACTCTTAGTAGCATGTACATGGTGAGTGTGAGGAACATATAAAAGCCACAAGGGTTATGTGAAATACCGACTATGCAGTTAAAATGATAACATATCCCAAAGTCTGCCACAGAGAATGTGCTTAAACATTCTCAGATGGGAACAAATGCAGCTCTGCTCATTCCTGTTTGATTTGGGTCATAAAGCAGCCATCTGACAGAATCACCCTCTAAGCCAAGAAAAAACATTCACCCTGTGTTGTAACCAACACTGCTGCACCTCTTTGCCATGAGACCATCTCACATAAGCACCCTTATGTGGCCCAGCAGGACCACAGCACATTCTGTCAGAAGGGACTTCCTCACAGAGCAAACAAAGAAGCTGTACTATCTTCAGCCAAAGAGAGGGGAGATTACACCTCCTAGTATCTCTCTTGGGGGAGGAACTCAGTGAAACACGCTATTCTTAAACAAAAATACTCTTTGTTTTGTATCCAGATTATATACTGAGACATTGCAGGTTCAAAGTGTATTTCTCCCACTCTGTATGTTTTTCTTGAAAATCAAATTCCCCTTTTCTAGTACATACCACAGGAGGGAAGGGTGGTAGTGGGGAGTTTGTAACATGCCTTAAGAAATGAGGGGAGGCAAATGGAATACCAAAGGAGGAAATAATTTTTGCAAGCAAGTCAGCAAAATATTCTAATACATTTGGTCTTCAAGCACAGTTACATTTACAAACAGCCTGATGAAAGGAAGGTGTGTTGCTCCAGTTCCACTGCCTCAGCAAGACTGGATTGGAGCAATGAAAGATTAGGACTAGATCTAACATGCTTTGAACCTGGTAAAAACCAGGCTTCAGCTGAACCTGCACTGAACTAGCACCCTAACTGAAAATAAAGAAGATAATTTTTCTCTTTCTGCATTGAAAGTGAGACCCTAAGACAAATTATGGCATAGAAGAACTTTAGGAAACTACTGCTCTTCTCAGCACAACCTTTGCACTTGTCGTGTAGAGTATTTCTGAATCCTGCTCTTCATCACCACTAAATTTATTTCATTCAAAATCAAGAGTTCCTAATGCATCTGACTGACAAACATAGAAATCATTGATTGATCAGAGATGACGCAGGAAATCTTTCAAAACTGGTTCTGCTTGGTGTAAACGGAACGGTCACGCTGTTGTCAAGAAGAGACATCAGCAAATACAGTAATGCATTCTTTACACTGAAAGCATGGTCATTTCCTAAACCACTGACAGTGGCTTTTACGACCAAACTCACTAAACAAACATCACATTTCCATGCAGTCTAGTACTACCAGACTGAGTGTGCTATTGAATTAACAACATTTTGAAGCCCTTTTAGGGCATATTTCAATCTTACTAAAGATATGAGAATTTAACTCATCTCAAGCTTCTTTTCTTACAACCAGAAATTGCTGTCATTGCTCTAAGTATCAGTACAATGTATGGGTAGGGGAGAAGAAGACTAAATACCACTTAATTATTCTATTGATCTATTTCATTTTAAAGTCTTTTTTCTAGGACCTGCTGCAAGCACTAACCTTTTTCTGTAATTACCACTAAAGAACATTGACAAGAAACAGTCCTGAAAAATTATGAACTCTCTGAAGATGACATCTGAGAATGAGCTTAATTATTCATGAATAGCCTTTGCAGATATCTAACTGTTTCTATAAGGCTAACATTGACAGGTCCCTACTCACATGCCACTTTCATAACATCTGACATATTTTTCTATTTTCAGTAAGTTAATCTTTACTGATAGGTA